ACCTGACCACAATTTGTGGAAAACTTGGTCTCAAGCAAGAGTATACAGTAGCTCATACTGAATGATGAAAACCTTGCATTTGTTTGGGGATACGTCATACTTGCCAGGTAATGAGCCCAGAGAGTGAAGTAACATGATTCGATGAGTAGGAATGGCAGGAGGCACAGCCATGGCAACTACATATGATTGCTGTGCTTTCCCAAATTGCTGCATCATTTGAGTATCAGAAATAGTCCATTAAGTCATCTATGCATCTCTGATATTGAACTAAAGCACTGGTAGCCTTTCAGCATTCAGCTGTGCTCCCAGATTGCCATGGTCTCAGTCAAGAACAAGCAGTAAGGTAGCTTCTCTTGTAAGAGAAATTGAGGAATTGCTGAGATTAATGCCAAGCTCTTGACAGCTGATCCAAAACCAAGATTTTTACAAAGGCTTCTTCAATCAGATTTATTGAAAAAGGAAAAGACATATTGTTACAGAAATCTTGGCAAGTAGATACTTTTACTTTAGCCCCCAATTTATTTCTAAGTTTGCTAGGGCCGAGATTTCTTCTTTCTCTTGTTAAAAACCCTTTGATGGACAAGACAGCTAGCTACCCATTTTCCTGACAATGGAAGAATATGCAGGTGTTCCAAGTTTAAATTATTTTCAGCCATCTTCTTTCCCATGTTTTAATAAGACCACTACAGTGATCCAACAACCACTATGCCTGGGAAAAGCTTCCTGTAAGCCCATACAGTATGACTGAACATCAATCTTTTAGATGTTCAGGGATCCAGTCAAGATACAGGATAATACAAAAATATTTATTCAAGGAAAAATATCATTGGAAAGATAGAGTTAAAAGTTTCCCTTGGCAAAAAACAAGATAACATATCTAAATGATGTAACAGAGCAGGCCTGATGTATGGGATAACAAAGCTTCAATAGGGATACGAGTACCTTGTCAAAAAAAAAAAAAAAAGACCAAATAGAAAATTCACCAAACATATGCACATCAGGTTGCAGTATGTATCCAATAGAAGAGAGTTTTCTTAAAAGAAAAGTGATGAATTAGATAATAGCACAGTGATTACAAAACATCATTAAAACTGACATTCAGAAGCATGAACTAAATTAAATATGAGTAAATTATGCAAAACATGTGAGTAAAAACACATTCTCTGAGGGGGAAAAACTGAAGAATCATTGATATATTGCATTCAGCAGTTAATATAACCTCCCACCTCCCAACTGAGGAAGGTGCAGGAGCGTATCTTCAAATGTCATTTGAAACAAAACAGGGTGGAGACCAGCCAAACTTTTCTCAGGAGTGAGTTCCATAATGCTTACTATACTTTACTGAATCCTGCTTTATTTAAGGTGCTTGCAGTTAAAGCAAGCACTTGAAAATGAAGTCTTCTTAACTGTAAGTACAATACAAACACTTTCTTGCAGATTAACATCTACAAACCTTATTTCAAAGCTTAAGCTACTTTTCCACTTGTCTATCTTTGTCTTAACAGGCTGAACTAATATTCTCTTTAATACCTTCAAATTCCCCTACAAGAGGAAATGGATACACTGCCAATTTATTCACAGGTTTCTTCCATATACATCTGAGTTCCCACTGCATGATCCTCTGCACAACTGCACAAGTTGATTGGGATAAAGGGGAAGGGACAAAAGACCAATAAAGAGAAGATGGCCCTGCATTTAATCCCTTAACCAATGAATGAAACGTGAAGTAGAAGCCTACCTAGTCAGGCTTCTCCCTTAGCACTGCCCTTAAAATGAACTTCCCCCACTCAATCAAACTTAGGTTAATCTACACAATCTAACTACAAAATACAGGAAAATCTGCACCCTCCCTCTACAACCATGAAACCCAAATTGTAAATTAGAGGCACTCATCATAATGCCCAGCAATCATCTTTGGGAATGAAAGATTTCTATCTGTATCTCTCTCTCTCTCTCTTTTTTTTTTTTTTTTTTTTGAGGCTGCCAATAAATCTAGTCATTAATATAGGGAGACTGTGTGTCATTTAGACCCAAAAAGGTTTTATTACTTTATTGGAATAAAGTAGTCCTTTCTATAGTTTCACTTTCCACTGGAAACATGTTTTCTGCTTAAAGAAAGAATTCAACTCTTGGCTGGTTATTTTGTTTATCAACTAGTTTGCCACCTTACTTACCTGAGTAACTAAGTGGCTTGTGAAGCAATAAGAATAAAAAATTGTTAAAATGACAATATTACAACAAGATTTTTGCTTCCCATATGTTTTATAAATCAGTAAGAATAACGTGGCTCAATTCTTACTTCATAGCCATTTGTAAGTAAAAAATCCAACACATTCAGGACTCTTTTGTTTTAATGAACTAGCAGAGCTGAAATTTAATTCTACATTCAAAGCACAATTCCTACTGTCTATAAAAAAACTTTCAATAAATAATAGATCAAAGGAGTTTCATTTTGATAGCCTGCAAATGCCACGGAGCATGCTGGGAAGAATAAACCCTTTATGACATTACAGAATTCTGGTAGTAAATGTATTACAATATTAGTCAAATTTATTACTGAGTCCTCTTAAATATAGAGTTTCCTGCAACTAGCAAGACACTGAAAAATCTTCTGTTTAAATAGCTTCAATTTCCTTGTTACTAAAATCATTTATTAGCAAAATTTTAAGAAAGCATTTCATCTATAATGATGAAAGGCCCTTATACTGTATATCCCTGCAATGCCATGTGATTTCTAATACGTTTCTCGTGCTCAGAAAATCAACTTAAGAAATTAATCAGTTCAGCTCCTAGTCCAGAAGAAAATCAGTGATACTGCAGGATGGGCAGCTGCTCATTGACAGACATTCCCATCTCATCCTGGTTTCCCTTCCCCTTCTGAAATAAAGGTGCTATGATACTTGCCCCACACAATGGCCCATTCTATAGCTGTTTTTTTTTCCTCACCTCAAAAAGCAAACAGAACAAGAAAAGAACAAACAAAATGGCGGGATGATGTTTAGCTGCCATTTTTAGAACTGCTCTGTTGGAAGCTGGAAGGAACACCACCCAATTCAACGAGAGGAGGGTGAGGGGATTTGCAAGCTGCCATGCAGTATTGTTGATACATAGTTGAAACTGGTGACTGCATGAAAGGAGCCAAAGACACGTTATACCATTTTTCTCATCTGACCCCAAAGATATTTTCTCAGAAGTAAACCCCACTTGGTAGAATGGAATACTTAAATAAAATACCTGGAGGATGTAGGACGTGACACTGGCACTATTTGGATATTTATTAAGAGGTATATGAACCAAGACTCTTCCTGAACACATGGATTCTCCCCTCTTTCTATGTAGCCACAAGGAATTTAGAAACTTTCACTTTTGCTTCTGAATAAGCACTGCTGGCTATGTTGTCCACATTTGGAATTGTAACTAATCTTGAGTACAGATAGTTTAAAGAAGCTCATTTGAAACTTATTAAACCATACTAGCTCATTACAGATTACACAAAAAGCTATAGTTAATGAAAAGATGAATATACTTTTCCTATATCCTACTCCTCACTATGAGATGGGAGAAGAGAGGAAGGAAGAGCATGGAAGCAAAAAATGAAACTAGACTCGTTCACATCTCGCTAAAATGAAGTTTGGCATAACACAGCCATATTTAAAATTTAAAAATAAATATCACCTGGTAAGATGTATGGCAACAAAACAATTGAGAGATAGCATATTCAATTAAATAAGCAACAATAAGCTTGGTAACACCATTGGATCATAGAGCCAAATTCCCTGTTTGCTACCTTGATCTATTCTGGATACTGTAAAACTGCTGCTAGCTTCCTTGCTATTGTATTTGCAATGAAAGCTGTACTTGGGCCACAGGATAAGACAGATTTTGATATTCATAGCTGTTCTAATTCACTTCCTGTTACTGCAATAATAGCCCACTTGCTTAGCATTGCTGCACCAAGGAAGAAGGTCTCCTAAGTAATTGCACAATAGATCTTATCAACTACAATCTGGTACCCCAGTGAAGAGCTATGTCATAACCCTTGAGCAAACACAAAATATTTTCTTGCCAGCATTGGAAGTTCAGCATTACCATTTGTTCTCTGTGACTGAACAGAAAACATAGGACCCAGCAAAAAAGAACAGGTATGCATGTATATTTATAATGAGAATGTAATCCTAGTCAGTCAGTTAATTTTCACAACATTCCAAACAAAAGCAAAAACCCCAAATCCCACAGAACCACTGTGCTTACACTAAAAAAAGTCTTCATTGTCTAAATTCTATCTCTTCAAATGAGTGTTAAAAGATACTCTAGAATTTACATCACTGATAAACTATGCTTACTTATCTCATTGGCTTGCTTTTTAAACTGCTGTTGGATGTTTTGACTGGTTGGTTGATAAACCAACTTAACCTTCCTAAAGAATTAACCTTCTTAAAGCATTCAAATGCAAGAAATTAATTTTTCATATATGTCATAAGAACTAACAAACAGACTGTAAGTGCAATATCACTTCCAAAAACAATGTTATTTTCTCCAAGGTCCCCTAAGATTCTAGAGCTGTTAAAATCTACAGACCTTTTAATTTCTGTAATACTATTAATTGAATTCTGTTTTGGTTAAACATATAATAATAAATACAATATGGCGTTCAATATATGGCTAACAAAATAAAGCAATGAGGCTTCTCAGCAATGCAAACTGCTTGATATGCATTAATTATTCTCCATCCAGATAATTTCTCAAACAGTAAGTTGTTATTATCATCATTTATATATATATATAAAAAAGTTAAAATACAACCTACTTAAATCTATCTTAACTGCATTCATGATTTGTTTCTTAGCACGCACTGTAGCGATTTAACAAATTTTCAGGACCAAAGAAATCACATAGTTAGAAAAACTGTGGCTGCACTAAGGACAAGGCAGAGACCCCAAATAAAACACAATAAGAGAATCTCTTTTTTCCAAATAAAAGCTGTTGCTAGAGATCATTACCCGATCTTTCATCCGCCAACTCTGAGCCAGTGACTTGGAGCCCTCAATTTTCTCACAGTGCCTCTTCTTCATGAAGGCCAAAGGCAAATTCCAGTCCGTCATATCTGACTCATCTTCTTCTCCAAGGCCCAGGAGGGGTGACTGCAGCATATCAGACTCCATCAAAAGGGTAGAGATCAAAGTAACCAGTGGAGAAAAATCACTACTCCAAGAAAATGTTACTGGGTAACAAGAAAATCTAGTAATTACTGTTTAAGATTTAAATTTTATGAGAAGATACTCTTTTCAAAAATAGATGTATGAATGTTACTGTTAAACTGTATGACAATGCTCCCTGCACAGCAGCTGGGGAATTCCTCTACAGAATGGGTAATCTCAGGGAGTAATATAATCACTATATAAGGGACAGTTATCTGGCAGTCAATGGTTTATTGCTGTCTAGATGAAACAATGAGTCACAGATGTGCATATGGATGTTTTTTATCCTTCAGGTATAGGACAGTATTATCTCAATATTCAAGAGATATAGGGTGACCACAGATAACTCTCTTTATTGAAAAAGTTCTTGCCCACAATACAATGATTTAGTTTAGGAGAAGACTATCAGGCAATACGTACTTGAAACAAAGTTTGATATGATAAGTCCAAAAGTATTTTAGACAGAAAACATGGCTTGCAACTAGCTATGTAGCAGAGCACTTGAATCACAGATAAAGTATAAAAGCCGCAGTGATACCACACTTGGCTCTCTTGTTCAGAATAAAGTTGATGCCTTGTGCTACATACTGTAGAAAAATTGCAGGCAAAGCAGGAGTTGAGAAATCAGTTCTATCCAAGTTGGAGAGTCAAATAAATGATCACTTGTCAAGCAACTGTGGTAGTGCTGTTCAACATATAATCTCGTTAAGACAGGGATTTCGTTTTGTTGTTTTGATGGGATGTTAGAATACACTGAACTTCAATAAATCGATCTTTGCTCTGGATTAAGACGCGAAGAATCTGAGCGCAGGATTCTTTTCAAAGTACAGCTACAAAGGAGAGGCTGCACTTTGATCTCCCGTTTAAGGCAGAACTAGCGAAAAATAAGGAAAGGAACCATTTGGCCGTAGGCACCTCTCTGTTCCAGGCTTGGCTGTATCTATTCTTAGTAAGTAGGCAGGAGAAAGCAGCTCGCCCCCGACAAGATCACCCCTTGGGATCACTCTGGACCAGACGATGAGATAGACTCTCCCTCCTGGGCCCGTTTTCGACAGCGTGCAGCCAGAGGGGAGTAATCGTCCTACCCCCGCGGAGGTGCCGGCTTTCTGCGCGGCTGCAACGATGGGCGCCCAATCCGACCCATCATGTTCCCCGACTCGGGCAGCTGGTAGCTCCTCTTCGCGGACAAGTTCCCCAGATAGCGGGGTTGGGGAAGCTGAAGGAAAATGTCCCGGAGAGCCAAATTCCCCTCAGCAGCACACCAAGGAGGCAGCCATATTGCCAAGAGCCAGAATGCATCGCAGCGACGGGCCTTCAGATGGCTCATATCGAATGAAACGCGTTCCGTACAGGCTAGTTCAAGGGTGGGAGGGGGAGAAGGGCCAAGCGTAACTAGGTTGCCTAGCAACCTACTTGAGTTCTCTCCGGGAGTTTCAGCTCCAAGCGCGGGACGCTCATGAAGGCTGCCTGTTTCCTCTCCCTGAGAGTCGAGCGGCGCTAGTGGTCATCCGGAAATTGGCCAGATGAAGAACCTGAAAAAAAAATGGAGGCAGCCTTCTGGTGTTTGAAACCTATTCGATGTTTTTCAAAAAGAAAAAAAGGAGGGGGGAGTTCCGTATAAGAGAAAAAGTGGTTGAATCAGTGTTTCTAATACATTTTGCCCCATTTAGCACGACCTTTCTGCCTTTACCTCAAAGGGCACGTTATTGCCCAAAATATGACAGATCCTGTGGGCTAAATGACCGAATGAAACCAAACAAAAGCCAGTACTGTAAGCCTAAATTATGCAAAGCCTTCTATATAAACTTTCTATAGTCAGTTGACTCCTGTTATCTTCCGTCTTTCAGCAGGCTGACTTCTGGGCTGCAAACATCTGGGCTACCACTAGATAGCAGCAAAGAGAGTTTTCAGTATCTCTTTGCAGCCACATAGTGGTTGTCTGCAGCCCAGTCTCACGTTTGCAGCCCAGATGTTTGCAGCCCAGTCTCACCTATACATATGCCTTGGTATTACTCCAGATCTGTCTTTTTCATTATAACCATTGTTACTACTTACTCAAGTAGCCCAAGAAGAAAACAAAGACTCATCTACAACATACAGTGTAAGGACTGTAACAACATGTAGGACAGACAGGCAGAAGACTAGCAGAACACATCCATGAACACCAACTAGCAGTCAG